AGAAACCTGTCAAGCTAAAAATTTTTAACATTTCTTCTCACAAAATATTTAGAATCTGTCAGTGCATTAGTGTTAAAGTGGCATTAAAAAACTTCTGCAATTTTAACAGATGCAGATTATTTTCAAAATGCATAGCATCTACATTTCTTTCGAGTAGGCACCATGATATTTACACCAGTGCTAAGAATTCTTGGTGGAAACAGCCATTTCACTGGAATTTCCTACTATTTCTTAAACATCTATTCTTGTATGCAATCTCAAATTCAACAAATACTCACCAAAAATATACCCTATGAATATTAAAAGAACTATATACATTTCTAAGACACAGGTTAATAGGCTGCCTTATGTAATATTAAAGAGAAGACATTATTCAAGTTTGACAGATATTGAGATGAAAGGCCTTTGGGTTGGAAGCATTTTAAAAGACAACAGTGTTTTAGGCTGAGAATCGTTTGAGCCCAGTTTATGACTAAGGCATTGCATAATAAAATATACATTTCTATTTGGTGCAATGTTATATTTTGGAATCTATACTGTGTCCAATGGTGTTTTGTCACTTTAGTAAACACTATAAAGCACACATTTCCAACATTTGAAATCAAACTTTTACAAGGAAAAAAACCAAACACTAAATCTATAATGTTTTATATTAGGCTGTTTATAAAAAATACTTTAACAAACTTATTTTCTAGTTTTTATGGGGGCAGTCACCCGATAAATAAATGAAAACAGATTGTGAATGAAGATAAATGGCAATACCAAAAATACACCTGCCCCTGACTCATGTCCAAAATCTCATCCAGAATGGGAATGAGGGTAAAGGGGGAGGGGAGGAGATAATTCCAATTTGGGTTTTTATTTTAATGTATTTTTTTAAAGCCTCCAGAAATACTCCACCTAAGAAAGGGCTTCTGTTCTAAAACATCAGAGCAACAACCATCAGGTGTGTTGTCCTCTATGGCCATCTCCCATCCCTGATCTCCTCCTATCGCCCCTATATGGACGTCCTCTGACATTTCGATGGTACTGATAACCTTCATCCCGGCTTCTGCTCGGCTGCCCTTTCCAGGTCTCCTCACCTCTCACGTGTTGATATCCGCCCCTACCAGAATAGCCCCAATCACTTTTGTACTTCCTGCCTCCGTAAGTTTGATTATAGAACTGCTTGGATCTGCCACTTCTCAGAATATTAGACWCTTCATTTTCATCTYCTGAACTCTCTTCTTTTGGTCTTTGCACTCTGCTATCCATAGAGTTGGCCCCAGGACTGACYACATCAGCAGCAGTCTTTGGATCTTTTACTTTCTCTGGTTTTTCTTTCAGACTTTGAATGGTCCTCTTAGGCTCAAGTTTAACAGGCACAGTTTCTCTCTCTCTGTTTAGAATCTGAGAAGGAAGATGAGACTTTCCCTCTGCTCCAGGAAGTGCAGAAGCCAGGGTCAGATCTGCCTTTCGTGTCTGGGATGACTGCTCGGCCTTCATGTTTGCTGCTCACGCTTGTTTCAGGGGAGTGTGTACAACCTCACTAAATTCATTTACTGCTAAAACTGAACCACATTCTTTAGAGAGATCCAGGTTTTCCAGAGGCAGATCCAATTCTCCTTTCTCATCAGAAGGCAGGACAATATTCTGCCTCATTACAGGATTTTCTATGAACCCCTGAAAAGGGTATCCATACCAAACATGAGGAAAGAAAGGAGGTGCAATGGGAACTGGGCCTAAGAATGGATTAGGTCCAAAGGRCGGTTGTGGATACATGTTCTTGCCACTTAGTGACTCTTCATATTCAGCATGAAGAAGCTGCCCAGTGTTCTCAGATTCAAGATCAGCCTGGTAAGACAACTGTCCATGACTTTCAGACACCTGAGATGGAGGGATAACCAGAGGTGAAGAAAATGTCGGTGGTCCAATATCTGCCTGAGGCATCTGACCATTAACACTGGCCTCAGTCTGCATAGGAAAGTGTGCATCGGTACAAGTACAATCACTTTCATTCTGAGCAGAAGGAGCTTCTTGGAACCAAGGATTATGAGGATACACAGGTACTGGGACCTTTGGGTACATCCTGCAGGCTGCCAGGTAGGCCTGGTGCAAAGGGTAAAGGTAAGAATGTGGGGCCCACATAGGACAACTATATGCCTGAAAGAGATACAAAATAGTAAAAGTAAATAAAAGGGAAAATTAAAAAGGTTTGAGTGTACCCGTCTCAAAACAGTAGGCTCAAGAGAAGTTTCTCATGCCTACAAAGAACACAAACCTACCTACAGTACAAATACCAGATCATTGCTATACCCCCATCAGGAAAAAGAAAATGGTGTTGCCCTTCAAGATTCCATCCTTTGCTCCTGTCTTGAAACCAATCGAAAGTCCTGCTACAGAGGCTGATAGGAAACATCATCTCTAACTGGCAGCTTAACTAGACCTACATTCACTTTCTGGTTCTCCCACTGACTGATTGTATGACCCTGCCAGCCGGTTCACCTGCCTGGACCTATTCTATAAGGAAAATGCTGAAAGAGGAGTAGATGATCTTTACTGACAGGACTCAATGAGTATGAAAACCCCAGAGTACTCCAGCTGCAAAAATTAGGTTAGATCCTCTACTCAAAGAATGAAATACTAATGTTCAAAATGAAATACTCCAAATCCTTCCTCTGCATGGGTTCAGCTAAATATCAAAATATAAAGAAAATATAACCAGCCAATTAGATAAAGCCTACATAAATGGAAAACCAGGTGCTGAATATGGCACAAGGCCTTATGAAACTTGGTCACTAGACCAGGACAGAGTGCTTTATTTCCTCTCTGAAATATCTAGAACCCACAGAAACTACAGACAGCCTAGTACTGACAGAGAGTTCTCTAGCCTCTTGTTAAGAAAAAGTATTTTTAGGTGACTGATTTCCAAAGGACCTCTCTGCTATGCTAGTGAACATACAAGCCTCCCACTTCACATACTAATACTTTCATTTGTTATTTTCTTTGGTCCTTTCAATAACTGAGGCAGGTAGCAAACATTAACACCATTCTATAGATGCAGAAAGCCATGCTCAGAGACACTGTGGCTTACCCAGGAATACACAGCTATAAGCCGTGAAAGAGAACTTCAAACCCAGAAGTTTCATCCACTTTCCCCAGTAAGGACATTTCCATGAGGTCCCTGGAATTATGGTTAATTCCTGAATGTATTCCTAAGTTAAACCATCATTAACTAAGAGGTAAACAAGCAAACACAGGAACCTCTACACCACCAAAAGCATCCTGTAAAATGCTGAAAACTCTGGTTCTTAAGAAAATATTTGGTGAACCTGAGGTTATTGCATGATAAAACAAGATTAACACTATGGTAAAAATTTAAAACAGAATTAACTTAATAATAAAACAACTTTAAAATGATAAATGTAAATTACCTTCACTCCAAGATTGAAGAAAAATCTAAGAATGTTCTTATCTGAAAACAAAAGTATTCGCTTGTTAAAAATATACATTCACAAAGCATTTCTTCATCATCTCGATCGATACACAGTTCCTAAAGAGCATTTTATCTACTAGAATTGTATTCTCCGACCTGTGATGTAAAACATAAAAACCAACAGAGCCAAAATTCAGGACTGGTGCAGTGGAACACACCTGTAATCCCAGAGGCCCAAGAAGGAGGATCACAAATTCAAAGCCATCCTTAGCAACTCAGCAAGGCCCTATCTCAAAGAAAACAACCACAAAAGTCAGGCTGCTAAGCAATTCTAATTCTGTATGCTTTTCCTCTAATTAACATCTAAATGCCATAATGGTTTAAACTAATATTCCTATCTGATTAAAACTGAATCTGGATGAAAGAAACTCAAGTGTTTAACTTACCAGTGAGGTTTAAAAAATTATGAAATAAAAATGCTGGGGAGAATGATAAGATCACATAAACCTAACTTAATGATACTATTATTAGTAGAACAGTACACTCCTGCTATTCATTTGCCATTAGCCCATTACCCATATAAGCTCACTGACTAAAAACAAACTATCCACATCAATCTAGGCAAAACGTTACAGGGGCTGGGGCTACAGCTCAGTGGCAGAGCACTCCCCTAGCACRGGCAAAGCATTGGGTTCAATCCTCAGAACCACATACAAACAAATAAGTAAAATAAAGTTAAAAAAGAAGAAGAAGAAGAAGAGTATACAAGCAGTCACTGTAATACTCTTCCAGTTTTACAGGTATGAAAACTTGTAAACTAAAAATAGAGGCTACAGATAAGTAAGATCCCTAAAAATAAGGGGGAAAAACAAATTTTAAAGAATTATTTTTAAAAAACTGCTACATATAGTACTGTACGAGTTACTACAAATATTATATTCAATCTTCTTAATTTTTTAACAGATAAAGTAATATCAATATCTCCCAAAAACCAGACCAGTGTTGAGAAAATTCGTTGATGTTAAGATGTCCAATTAATGAAAATATCAACCCATAAAGCCCCAAGTTCTCAATTCTATGTACACTTCAACAAAACTGAAACAGGCACATTACAACGGGTTAGAAATGCTAGAGATAAATTATATAATGTTAATATTAGCTAATATAAACATCATGTAATATAGTTACGTAATTATGAATTATATAATTTTATTAGACATTATATACTATATTTAAGCTTTATATGTGTTCTACGTATGGAATGATGGGACAAAATGTTAAATCTTATATAATTCAAAATGGTTTCAAGGTTGTTTATGAAAAAATGACATTTTTAAAGAGAACCATTACTAAACACAAAAATCACTTCTTTAAAAAAAAAAAAAGCCAAACTTCTGCCGTCTTTCCCAATTAAGTCCTCCTTCTGGCTAATAAACAAGTCTCTGGCCTGCATTTTTGTCTTTTTATGTCTTACTCAACCTATGTGAACTTGGAGGAGCTCACCTTTAGGCAGGTCCTCCCCAGTCTGACACAGTGAATAAGGTGGTGCAATGGCTCGATCTCCCTTTTCATTATAAGGAAACCCAGGATAGAGTGGGTCTTGATAAAGGCTCAGTGTCTGAGGCAAAGGCATCAAGGGCTGGTTAACTGCCTGAATTGACACAGGAACTGGAGAGGGTGTTAAATGAGCTTGAGACACAGCAGAATCAGGTCCAGTGGTCAAAGTCTGTGTCACTGATAAAACAGGAATCGGAGCAGGGACACCTACAAAAGAGAGGGACAAGAATCAAAATCTACAAAAAAATAAAAATAATTCTCTAGAAATATAAGTTTATATTGCACTATTAAGTAAATAATGCTGCTAGTGAAACAGCTAGTAAAACAGCAGGTTGTTAAGAATCTAACATAGTTTTAATTCGAGTATCAACCCAGGACTCTTCAGGACACAGAGAGGAAATAAGCCTAAGAAAAAAGCTTTGAGTCAATATCTAACTGTAGCTCTCAGAAGACACAAGGTCGGGGCTGGGGTGTGGCTCAAGCGGTAGCGCGCTCGCCTGGCATTCGTGTGGCCCGGGTTCGATCCTCAGCACCACATACCAACAAAGATGTTGTGTCCGCCGAGAACTGAAAAATAAATATTAAAAATTCTCTCTCTCTCTCTCCCTTAAAAAAAAAAAAAAAAAAGACACAAGGTCTTCAAGGAGTCCAACTGGGAAAGAGCTGACCCGTGGGGGAAGCAAACTGTAGTGCCAGTTAGTGCTGAGCAACCAAAGCAAAGAGTGGTGATAATCAGCTCAAATTCCATGTGTCTAGGATAATAGGAGTACACCTTAAGCAACAGCAAAGACCTCAGCCCTCCCACACTAGAAGCAGAGCAAAGCAGAGAATCACAGAAAGCTCCTTGAGACTCTCTACACTTAGTCCTTTTCTGCAATCAAGCCCTCATTCAAGAATTAGAAGTCTGACTTGGAAGCTTTTTTGCTGGTTGTTCATTTGATAAATCCTTCTCTAACCTGTTGGTCCAAAAGTTGTAGGCTCACTTGGCCAGGCTGGCACAGTGGCTGGTAAAGAAGGCACCGCAGGAGTTAGATGTACCTCTGGAGAAACTAAAAGGGGAGCTGGATTCGAAAGAGACACATGTTCTGCTGGCTTCTACAGAGAGTGGAAAAAGAAAAGGGGTCATTTTGCTTAGACACTAATTTTTAATCACATATATCTTGAATTGGCTGTCTTTTATACAACTGAAGTATAAATGGTCCTATTCTTGTCTTAGAAATGAAAGAAAACAGAGAGTAGACAAAAACAACATGCAAACAAATGAAATCCAACCAAGTATTGCCTACCAAAAGTCCCAGAAGCCACAAGCCAAGTGTGAAACAGTACAACCAACTTGAAATTCATGAGTTTAGAAAAGCTCCCCACACAGACATACCATGTAACTATGACTTAGTCTTACTATAGGAAGGATGATAATTAAAAAGCATTTAGCACTGAACTTTTTTTCTACTTTTGTATTAGACCAAGAACCAAAATAACTGCCAGAACTTCTGTTCCTTCATCATTTTACTTATAAATTTTTGGAATTGCTTTTTTAAATGTGTTAAATAACTGATGCAGATGACTCTTCAAAAGGTCTGCTATTAGCAAAGACATATTTAACCACTAAGCCACATCCCCAGCCCTTTTTTATATTTTATTTAGAGATAGGGTCTCACTTAGTTGCTTTAGGATCTAAGTTGCTGGGGCTGGCTTTGAACTCAACCTCCTGCCTCAACCTCCCAAGCCACTGGGATTACAGGCACATGCCATCACACGCAGCCAAAAAAGTTTTAAAATAAAGTAGAAATTCAGTTTTCTTTCAAAAATCTAATGTTCAGGTCAAGTTACCACAAAGGTAGGACAAGATATCAAAAAATAAAGATAACAAATATGAACTTATCCAAAATAAATTCAGAAGAATGGCAAAGAAATGGTTATAAAATAAAAATCTATTAAACACCATTAACATTGTAAACTAGCTAAGATCAAAATAAATTACAGAAAAATTTTAATTGGGACCTGGGGATATAGCTCAGTTGGTAGAGTGCTTGCCAACATGCACAAGACCCTGGGTTCAATCCCCAGCACCACCAAAAAAAAAAAAAAAAGGAAGAAAAATTGTAATTGCACTTAAATTGTGATGCTAGAATAAATTCTCCCATTTCCATAGAGATATTTCCTATTTTTATATCATTGTATACAAAGAACCCAGAGAATATAGTACTCAGTGACAAATGCAACAACTTACGTACTTGTTCTGCAGGAGATGGGCACTCTAATTTCTTTGACTTTGATGGTGATGAAATTCTTGTACATTTTTCATCACTGGTATTCTTTGGGAGCAAAAAGAAAGTGTGATTTTGTATTTCAAAGACCCATATTCCAGGAATAACAGCAATTTCCTTTATAGTTCACTCCACATGCATCTGAGCCCTCTCATGATTTCAAATTTTTTTCCAATTATACTGGTCTTCAATAGGAAGGTTAGCTTTGCCTGTGTATCTCTATTCTACCAAATTACTGGGTTGTTTCTAGCTGGGGCATGGCTTTAAACAATTTCCCTGGAGTGATGGAGAATATAAGCTACTCTGCAAGGTACCTTGAGAACACAATTATGACTTGTAAGCATAAGCCAGAATACAAACTCGCCTCTTTTCTGCTTCTCTTCTATACTAGTTATAAAATGTTGAAATCATTTCTACCTTCTCCTACTTTTTCTTACTATAGTATCACAGTGTTAAAAAAAAGAAATGCAATTAGAATTTTAAACTTTTACCTCCAATGTGCTTGACTCAGGCTTTTTATCCAAGTGAATATGTCCATGGATAGGTTCTATAACATATTAAGGTAAAAAAAAAACGTAGCATCAACCACTAGGCAGGTTTGAATACAGAACAAAATATGAAGAAAGTCAACAGTACTACTGCAAGCATGTTTTAGTCAATGCAGTTTTTAGAGTAACATTTAACATGCCTTAGGCTAAGTCAACATTTCTCGCCATATCTAACATTAATATGGAGAGATTACTTAAGCAGCTTAACAATTTAAAAAGTACATTTTTTCCCCAAAATAGTAGTCCCTCCCTTATTTACAGGGGATACATTCCAAGACCCCACCAGCGGATTCCTCAGAAAATTATTAAGAAAATCTTTCCCATCTGCTTTCAAATGAGGAAATAACGTACCTTTGTCTTTTCGTTCTTCTATATCCATTCTCCGCCTGCTTCCTTTCCTATCACTTACATGCGATGATTTTCTCTGAACACATGGGTTGCTACTCTGAGAAGCGGACTGACTCATTGATGAGCTCTTTAAAATGAACAAAGCCCAACATTTGTGTTAAAATTTACTCACAAAACTATCAACAGAAATTCAGTAATTAATACTATTCTTCATACTTCTACACAAAATCTCAAAATTCATAGCCCTAGATTTTTATATTACTGAAAAAAAAATGATAGAATCTAGGGTCCACTTTTAATTATATTAATAGCTAAATGACTAAATCAAAGTAATAGGCAAAGCAGACCTTCAGCATAATTAGTAGTTAGACTTCATCATAGATCCATTTCAGGAAGCCACCCTGACCAGACCTTCACCTGGCAACTTACATTCTCTGTATAAACAATAGCATCCTCTGTACCAACCTTCTGAAGAAGCCATTGTAGAGGCATGATCTTTGTGGAGGGAAAAAAAATCTAAATGCAAATTAGCAGATACAGTGCCATCAGGATTTTTATCACTGATATACTATTACCAGAGCAAATCAATAAGCTCTGCATGAGATCCAACCTTCTAACTGTGAAACAAAAAGACTGCAATAAGTTGTTTTTTAAACTAAATTATTATTTAAGGTTCTAAGTTCCCATTACATTATATATTTCATATAGCAGCATAGAGGACCTTGGTCTTGGCTATGGAATTTTATAGAAAATAGACCTTTGCCACCAACAATCCCACGATGTCTAAAGATAATGAGGACGAACACCCCATTTTAGCTGGGCACAGTGATGAACACCTGTAATCCCAGCAATTTGGGAGGCTGAGATATCAAGTTTGAAGCCATACTCAACAACTTAGTGAGACCCTGATTCAAAATAAAAAATAAAAGGACTGGGGATGTGGCTCAGTGGTAAAGCAACCCTGGGTCCAATCCTCGGTATTTTAGAAAAAGAAAAAATTAACAATAAAAAAATTTCACAATCTGTCCTTGCATTATAGTAGCAATACCTTTCACATTTGCTAACTAAAAAGAAGAAATATAGATAAAAGCTCAAATAATTTATAGTTGTCTACATAAAAATTGTTGAAAATTGACATATAGGACATGAAAGATAAATATAATTAGCACACACACACAATGCCCTACGCTTTTGGGCATCTCTTCCAATAATTCCTAACCCTGTGCCAATTGAATAACTATTTCACATAAGCTTTTTCAACTGAACTCTTCCTCAGACCCCTAAGACATTCCATAACCAGAAGACAGAGAACTAAGTGTATGGGGCTTTAATGTTTTATGGTGGGAAACCTCTCAGAACACTCCATTTTGTATGTTTAATCCATTGTTACCAATCAGGATCATAGGTCATCTGAGTACCACTTACCAAGACTTAAAAGCCCACAGGGTTCCCAGTATCAATAATGAAGCAGTTACCCTTCCCTATTCTGCTCATGAACCTTCTTCACCTACATGACTCCCCAACAGGAGTTAAGGAAACATGAAGACAGAGAACTCTTTCATCAGAGAAACATCCACTGCAAATAGTGTCTGACACATGGAGCAAGGACAGAAACACAGGACTGCAGGATTCTACCTGAACAGTGAGCTCTCTTGAAAGATAGCTCTCACTTTATCAGGTCCTTGTAGGTTTAATAAACAGTTCAGAGTACTTCCGGATTTAACAGATATTTCTTGTAAAAGGTTAAATGAATCATGAACCTCTCTATACTGCACATTATTTTGGCTACCAAATTAAATACATACTAAACATTTCAAACCAATTTACTTGCCAACCATCACCAACCTTTCAATAACATTTCTAGACCTATCTTCATGCAAAAAATGAAAAGGAGAAGTAAATGATCTCTAAACTTACAGTTTAAAAGTTGTTAGCACACCATAAGAAACCTATGGTTTAATATAGAAACTATACTAAGACTTCCAAACATTAGCCTTTAAAAATTCCCTTTATACATACAGAAAGAGCTGGGAAAGCCTGTTCATCTCTGTTCTGAATCTCATAGAGTAAACGAGACTCCTCTATAGCTTGCTTCTCTCTGCGCTCTTCTGGGGAGAGGCCAAAATAGTGAGATTCTCGACTTGTATGATCAAAATCTTCAACTCTCTCACGATCAGGTTTTCTGTCAAATAAAACATTCTTGTCAGAAAGAAAAAAAGACAAAATGTATTGAGTACCTAAAATAAGATTATCTACTTTCCAATATAAATGTTTGACTAATTTAGCCACACTAACACTTCAGAACTTTTGGCAGCCTGATTAGTACGTTTCACAACTGGAACTGCTATAGTATCAGAATATCTCACTAAGATAATGCACTTACAATAAGGGAGATAAAAGATATATAATTCACTTTCAAGTAATATAGAAATAATTAAATCTCTTTTTATCAGCGCAGAAATATAAGTATTGTATATATTCTTTATGCCATATTCCAACACTTCGACAGGAATTTGCTCTCAAAAGAAAAAAGAGTTAAGCAATGAAATTTCCTGTATATCAATACTAAATGAAAGCATACATGCAGTCCTGCTTATGTTTTTGCTTTTTCCAAAAGAAGAAACATTATCACTGAGGAAGAGATGAAAAATTAAGATGCCATAAATACCCTCTCTAAAGAAGAAAACTAGATCATTGGGAAAATACAGATAGAAAGGAGACTATATATAGAAAAACATTTAGGATGCTTTGGATTAAGAATATTTTGAATTAACTTCCTATCCTAAATACTTTTAATTTTTTTTAAATGGATTTTTTTTAATTTTTTTTAGTTGTAGATGAACATAATACCTTTATTTTATTTATTTATGTGTTTCTGAGGATTGAACCTTGTGCCACACATGCAAGGCAAGCACTACTCTACCACTGAGCTACAATCCTAGCCCTTAAATTGATTTCAAGTATCTTATGCATTGAATTTATCTCCTAAAAAAAAAATATGTTCAGCTACCTAACTCCTAGTATTTATACATGTGACCCTTCTTGGAAAATGGTCGTTTCTCAGACGCAATTGAACTTGAATTGAGGTTAACAGGACTGGAGTAGGACCTAAACCCAATGTGTCTAGTGTCCCCTAAGAACAGACAAAGACAGGGAAACACCATGTGATGACAGAAGCAGAGAATGAAATGATGTATCTATAAGCTAAGGGATCCCAAGGACTCTGGGCAATACCAGAAAACAGAAGAGGCATGGAACCTCTTTTCCTAACTTGGGCAACAACCTGACTTCAGACTTCTAGTCCCAGAATTGAGAGAATTTCCATGCTTTGAAGATGACTAGTTTGTTACAGTACTAGGAAACTAATAGTAATCAGTCTAAGAACCTTCAATTCTGTCTTAAGATGCTACATAATATTTATCTTTAATGACAAAAGATTAAGTGCATGYTCAAGAAAAGGGAATGCCCAAATGTCAAAAATAAATCAATTAAAGACCAGAACTTGGGAAGGATAGGGAAGTCACTGGTCACAGTAACTTAGGAAGGCTCCAGAGTTCCTGGGAGACATGGCCATGAGTGCCTGAGGAAAATGTCTCTACCAAGACCCCCTCAAAGGAATCTCCACAAAAGGGAAAGCTTTAATATGTGAAACTACTCATCAGAACAGTAGATTAGGGAAACACTCAACACCATATGCCACAGGAAAAGTATGACCCTTAAGTTCATCTTTCTCTGAATATTCACTTAGAATGCCAATATTCATAATTGCTTAAATCTAAAACTTGCAGCCCTGTTTGGTATTGGAAACATGACCACAAATAATCAAAACTTATCAGAACAAAGTAAACAAACAGCTGAGGATGACTTATGTTCCTGTACAAAAGGCAGCATCCTCACCCTCCTCCAAGGATTTAAGAATGTGATCTGGAATCYAGTATTTATCACAAAAGCCACCAGAAAACTATTAAATACCAGAATAAGATATGGCTAAAGTAAGACCTCCCAAGTAATTTGAAACAATTATTCAAAAATCAAGACCTTTGATCCTATAATATTACCTTGCTTCGTTTAAAGAGGATTAGAGGATTATAAGGAACTAAAATCCTTGCATGGTATTTTGCCAATACTTTTAACACTATATTACAAACAAGTATATGAACAAAGAGTTGTAACTGTTTAAAAGCAGGCAATGTGGCCAATACAATAAACACCTCTCACCTGACTGCCATTTCTCTTACATTCAGGAAGGTTACCTTATGATCTGTGAGGGTGTCCTGCTAAGATTTTTGTGCTCACTGGAGGATTTCTGAGACTGGGACCCTGAAGAATGACCAGAGAACGCATGCTGTCTTACTCCTGAAGGTTGCTGCAGGCGAGGAGGTAGTGCTGATGGGGCTTTTATTGGCTTGCTTGGATTCTTTGGCCCTCTGTAATCCATGTCTGTGGCAAGAATCCAAAAACACCTTATAATTTTCCTACTTAAACAACCCCAAATACGGCCATCCCTAATCCCCCAAAAAGACAACCTGATGTGTTCCTACCAGAATGGAAATTTTGTCCAGAAGTGGAAGGTTTTTTCATCTTCTTTCCTGACACTGTGTTCCAGCTTTCTGGGGGAGGTGCTTTGAGGTTCTTCTGTGTAGGTCTTCATAAGAAAGAAAAAGACTTTTAATAACTTAAAACAATCCTAGCTCTACTCAAAACAAATATTCTACGTAAACATCTTATTTTCAACTTAAGTAAAATTTCTAGTTTTCTTACATTAAAAATAAATCAGAATTCAACTATAAATAGCATTTAGCAATCCTTACTTAATTCTAATCAAATAAAATAATGTATGTAAAAAACATACTTCCTAACTTAAAAAAAATTATACATTAAAAGGCCTTAAATATAATTTAAGCAAAAGACTAAATTTAAGGAATGATTATTATTATGCCATTCTATTGCCTAGTGGTATTGTAAACATCTATTAGAGAAATTGTGTGATGTCCGGGATTTCCTTTAAAATATTCCAATTTCGGGGGCTGGGGATGTGGCTCAAGCGGTAGCGCGCTCGCCTGGCATGCGTGCGGCCCGGGTTCGATCCTCAGCACGACATACCAACAAAGATGTTGTGTCCGCGGAGAACTAAAAAATAAATAAATATTTAAAAAAAAAAAAATATTCCAATTTCATTCCCATTTAAAAAATAAAATATTAGGGAAGAGTAAATTAGAAAAGGTTGCCAAATGCTGAGTTGCTGAAACCGGCCTTTGGTGCTCTGTTCCTACAATATTATCTTGCTTCGTTTAAAGAGGATTATCCTTCTACATTTATGTATGTTTAAATTTTCCCATAGTAAAAATTTAAGGTGTGACTTTACTTCCTTTTTCTCTAATAAGGGCAGCAACAACCAGAACAAAAAGTGTTCCAAAATAACACTGTATAAACAACAAGTCAATGGTACTTCACTACTCAACCCGACAGACATTTCCTACTAACAGATGCAATGCAGTACTAAATGAAAATAGAAATGAATGTGCTCCCCACTCTCCAAAGCTCCCATTTTATAATTCGGCCAATTTCTAAAATAGCCTTTCTGTAAAATGATGCATTTTAAACTATACTCAATAAAAGAAGTATTCGTTATTTAAAATTTGCCAACATGGAAAATAGTCAATTAGAACTCCAACTATTATTTCTAAAGATCTGATTGAAACTTGTGCTGGGGATTGAACCCAGGGTCTTTTACATTCAAGGCAAGCACTCTACTGAGCTATATCCCTAGCTTCCCTGAATACACTTTTTATACATGGGCAATACCTTTCATTGAATTTGCAAAGACACAGGGATATTTAGAAATGTTCATAATTACATCAGGCTAAATGGAAGAAGCAATGAATGCCTTGGCTGAAGGATAGTACATACTTTTTTCCCAGTTCTTCAACCAAAACTGGTCCATTTTCAGAGTGTATCCCTTGAATGTCTGCATTATAAAACTTTCCATTGTGATCCAACCTAACCTGTTGAACAATGGCAGAAATAAAAATCAGTTACCTGCTTCCTTTGTGCTAATGACCAGTTTCACCATTTTTATTCTCTTTGATTAAAGAGAAATATTTATTTTTTAAGGGAAAAACAATGTAAGTTCAAAAGGAAAACAACAGAATATGTCTCCCTAAGCTCCCAGACCTCTACTATACTTCTAATCTAAAAGAAAAGCTTTGCTATCTATCCTTCCAAAATTTTTCTAGATTGTTTTTCTACATAGTTGAAGGAGAAGCTAGAGTACAATCTATTAAAGCTCTAAATAAGAGATAAGAGATAATCTGCCTCTGAACTCATGGCTGTTACACCGTATGCCCAGGCTTCCAGAACAACTATTATTATAGTTAGTAGAATCTTCCTTTTTTTTCTGATATTAAAAATGTGTAAACTCTGACCTTTCTTTTTCCCCAAAAAGAAATGTGTCAACTATTCTCAAACATACACTTGGTAACACCCAACTATATTGACAAAATAAGCCTTCAAGTTTGCTACTGTAGTTGAACACACACTAAACCTATACACCTGTCTTCTATACTAGAAGCATGTATACATAGTACTGCTTTAAGCAACCTCCTGCCTTATTACATCAACAATCCCAATTGTTTGAAATGTTAAACAGTTGGTATTTTATTCCTTATAAATAACAAGGCCTCTTTACTTTCTTCAAAAATTTTGCAATCAAATTTGTCACTTATTTTCATCAACAATTTAAACCACATCTGATTACACACTTCRAGTCATATCATTTTTTTAAAGATTTCAATTGTTTTATCCAAATTAAACAAATAGGAGAAACAAAAATAAAACACTCCAAAAAGAAAAAAAACTAAACAGGTATCTACTTCACCAATTATTTTATCAATAGTGTCTACTTGGCCAAAAAGTACTTTCAACCTCAAAGGAAAGATGCTTGATTTACAATAACAAGTGTCACAATTTTAGCAAGATAGCTTTAAGATAAACAATTATCTCTTTTCTGCTAAGTGGGCAGGGAAGGAGGCCTCCAAGCTCTAAGTTTACTCTTCTTTTTTAATCTCTTCTAAGTTTTCCAAGGCAGTGTAGTAAGAGCTTCCACAACTCTGCTGTACAATTAGAGCACACTTCTGACAGTTCCATATGGAAACCTCTAAAGAAATTTATATTCTCTTTTTTGGCTTCCAAGTACCCCAGAACAGAACACTATTAAAAGTTCTAAAGGTGAAACTCCACCACTGATGCCCCAGATATAAGCCTGATCAGATATTTTTCATGTAAACCAACTTATTATAAGGTAAATGAGTATTTCTTCCACAAGTCAAGAAGAAACATCTAGGGCTGGGGTTGTAGCTCAGTGGTACAGCACTTGCCTCACGCGCACAAGGCACTGGGTTTGATCCTCAGCACCACATAAAAATAAATAAAGATACTGTGTCCATCTAGAAGAAGAAGAGGAAGAGGAGGAGGAAGAAGAAGAAGAAACATCTATCAATGGCAGTTTTAAGTAGTTTAAAAAGGCAAAACTTTTTAACCAGGAGTAGTGACACATACTTGTAATCCTAGCTAACCAAGAGGCTGAAACAAGAGGATCACAAACAAGAAATTACAAATTTCCACCCTTGGCAATTTAATAAGACCCTGTCTCAAAATAAAATTTAAAAGGGGGTTGAGGATATCAATGGTTGAGTGGCTCCCAGGGTTCAATCCCAATATCACAAAAAAACCGGCCCAAGGACTATACTTTTGATGGAGATCATTTCTGATTAAAAAAAAAATTAACTTCCACATATTGTATGTGTGCATGTTTCAAAATAACATTAAAAAAAAAAAAAAAGCACAGGGTCTCTCCAGCTTCAGCATTACTGAGACTTTGAACTAAATGGTTCTTGGTTGGGGATGGGGAGAGGGAAAACAGAGCACTGTAAGACGTTTGGCCACCTCTTTGGCCTCCATCCACTAGATGTCAGTAGCACCCTCTCAGTTAACTATTAAAAATGTCTCCAGACTGTTAATCGTACCCTGGAGGATGAGTGGGCCAAATTACCCCACAGTAAGAAACAGAGATCCTATCCAACTTTTCCCATTAACCATCAGCTACTCAAGTGCAGTTCAGTAACTTATTCAAAATAAATAGCTCATAATTAATCTAACGGGGCTCATTCTCCTCCTTCCTCAGTCTAAAAGGAAAACTTTATACATATATCAAAATCTTCCAGGAAGACTTTGACAAATAAAATAAACTGACCCATAAAAATCAAGTTTGAATCCATTTGCCAAATGAAATGAATATACCTCCTGAACATCTCAAATGTTACTGTTACTTCTTATTTCTTTGGTAAGGGATTGAACCCAGGTCTTACACATGCTAGACAAGGACTCTACCTCTGGGTTAAATCTCCAGCAGACATTGTTTTTTCATTTTGTTTGGAGATAGGGTCTTTACTAAATTGTTGAGGCTAACCTTGTCCTGAGTCACTGATGTCTCCAAGTGTGCACAACCACACCCAGTTTATTATTACTTCTTTGAAGCAAGTAATCCCAAAGGCCAAATTCTTTTAAAAAATCATGGGAGGGGGCTGGGATTGGGCTCAGCGGTAGAGTGCTCGCCCTAGCACAGGCGGGACCCAGGTTCGATCCTCAGCACCACATAAAAATAAAGGCATTGTGTTGTGTCCATCTACACCTAAAAAAAAAATATTAAAAAAAAATCATGTACGGGGATACTACTGTTTAAGATACAAATTTTAGTATTCAAATATCAAAAAGCTAACTACTTGTGACCTATTAAAATGTATACATGATAAACTCTGAAAATCCAAATTAGTAAGATATTCAAACCTCAGATGTTTTCTTCATTCCTATTAGAAAAAGCAAGATTCAAGTAAAATATTTTCTTCTTTTATACAAATCGCTTACTTGGCATTTATCTCCAACTTCATATTGTAAACCAGCAGCAATGGAATAATCACGTTTTTGTTGAGCTGTAAAAAAATAACAGTATCAAGTTTACTTAATTATTTTCAAGTGCCACAAAGCAATTTTTAAAAAAATTCAGATTTTTAACTCACCTTGTTTAGACTTTAGCCAAATCTCATACTCGACATTTCTATATACTGCTGGATTAAGTGACTTAAGAACCTTTCTAGATAAAGGCAGGCTAGAAGAGCTCCCACTGTTCTTCAGGTGCTAAACAAACAAAGTCAGGAAGTTCAATTAACACAGAAACACTTTTAAAACATTTTTGTTAGAAAATCTACTTACAAAAGTAAAATCTATTAAAGAATTTTAGAACTTCAAACAATTAGGAAGCAGCCAACAAATTTCTTACTAGAAAGATGTTCCTAACTCTACTGAAAATATATCAGAAAAAAGGCTATAAATTCATATTTTTATATTGAAGAACTAGTTAAAACCATTTTTAAAAAATACCTCATCGCCTGACAAAGGTTTAAATCCATTTACATCATTAGCAGTGGTAGTTTTACTCCTACAAAGAAAGAAATACAACCATAATTAGGAGCAGAAAAATTTATTTGCATGCAAGTAACTTCTACCTCACCTAAAAATCTCAAGTTGGCTATAACCTAAAAAGCTGGAGCTATCCTCCATTAAGCTGTTACAAATTTTAGTTTAAGTATACAATACAAAAGTATGTATATGTTGTGTGTGTGTATCTATATGACAGAAGTCCAAGACCAAAAATACCAACCCAGTATCAACAACAACAAAAAACAGAAATACACCATAGTAACTAGGGGAACATATATGAAATTTAGAAAGATTCAACATAACAATGTCTTTCTACATGCAGGGAAGGCCCACTTTTAAAAAAAAATTACTCCAAAGTTAACTAAAGGAGGGTTCACAACCAACCATTTCATTAAAAACACCATGTAGCCCAGCCAATTGGAAAACTGAGGCAGGTGAATCTCAACTTTGAGGCCAGCCTCAGTAATTTAGCAAGACCCTGTCTCAAAACGTAACAGGGCCCAGCAGCTCAGGAGGCTTAGGCAGGAAGATCCCGAGTTCAAAGCCAGCCTCTGCAAAAGTGAGGCACTACGCAGCTCAGTGAGACTCTGTCTCTAAATAAAATACAAAAATAGGGCTGGGGATATGGCTCAGTGATTGAGTGCCCCCCGAGTTCAACTGGCTGTTTTAAGTACTCTCTGTGAATCTTCAATACAACCTAAGAACCATCATTTTAATTCACTGTAACATGCATAGCTAAACATTTATTCATTCACTCAAGTATTTGAGCCCCTATTAACTGCCAGGCACTACACATTAAGGTGCTGAGGTCCTGCAGTGAACAAACAAAAACTACATCTACATGAAATGTACAAGTTCAAACCCAGCCTCAGCAAAAGCAAGGTGCTAAGCAACATCAGTGAGACCCTGTCTCTAAATAAGATACAAAATAGGGCTGGGGATGTGGCTCAATGGTCAAGAGCCCCTTAGTTCAATCCCCAGTATCTATCTATCAATCAATCAATAAAATTAGTGTCAGAGATCTATGGAAGTTTGCTATATGGCAAATTGCTATATTTTATGTGTGTTAACACCTTAAAATGTGAGAAAACACAATTGAAATGTCTCTTTGTATGGCATAAGAAAGCTATTTTAGGATTTAAATTCATTCTTACTTGCAACTGTCATCCTCTGAATCGGATATTTCGCTGTTGTTTTCATCAGTTACTTCAGAGGTGTCTAGTCCCATCATGATTTTACTAACATCAGTCTTAAATACCTTCTCATACAGCAGTTCATAAAGGAGAGCTGCAATTAATGAGAGATTTGTAATACTGAGTACAGGCATATTTTTAAAACAAGAACAGGAAAAAATGTGACTATATTGCTCAGGCTTCTAAAATCTGAGATAGTATCTGCAACATTTTAGTAACATAATTTCAATTTAATCAAAAAAATAACATAAGAATAGAAAGCAACTAAAATTTTTCTGTGCAGATATGCAGTTTGAAATTATGCAAACACTACTATTTTTAAAACTAACATCATACAGACATTATGACAACTGTGAAACAAGTTTGATAAAGAACTAATCATACACACTGAACAATTACTACACTCCACACACTGCTAAGCACTACATATCCTCAAATGTAATCTCAGCACATGCAATACTGAGACTGAAGAGACTGAAACTTACGGATGTCATGCACATGCTTAGCTATAAGACGCATTAAGATTGCTAGAAGAGAGCAAGGTGCGATGGCACACGCCTATAATCCCAGCAGCTTGGGAAGATGAGACAGGAGGACTGAGTTCAAAGCCAGCCTCAGCAATTTAGCAAGGCCCTAAGCAATTTAGTTAGACCCTGTCTCTAAATACAAAAAAAAAAAAAAAAAAGATTGCTAGAAAGAGGAATATGGAATAGCAGAGAGTATACTAAATTACTAGTTAGAGGACCTGGATGCTAGTCTTAGCTTTACCACTGACTACAACCTGAGACAAGGCATTTCTCAGCTATCTATGAAACAAGATGTTTGATTATATAACTTAGCTCCAGATTTTAATTTTATATAAAGAACTAAAAAGAAACTGTTGCAGGGGCTAGGGATATAGCTCAGTGGTAGAGTGAATGCTTTATTTAGCATGTGCAAGTTTCTGGGTTTGATCCCTAGCAGAAAGAAAGAGGCAGGGAGGGTCATTAAGAAAATGTATTCTCAGTTGGAAACAGAGGCACATGCCTGTAATCCCAAATATTCTGGAGGCTGAGGCAGAAGGTTGCCAAATTTGAAGCCAGCCTGGGCAACTTAGTGAGACCCTATCTCAAAATAAAAAATTTAAAACAACAACATCAAAAAAAAAAAAAAAAAAACCCACTGGGGATGTAGCTTTTAATGGCAGAGTACGCCTGGCTCAACTATAGCAAACCCTAACCCCTTGCACACAGCCACAACCACCCAAAAAAAAAAAACTATTCTATGTAACCACTGAAGGGAAGAAGTATATTTAGACAAATTTGATAAAAAAAAAAAACTCTAGTTCTGAAAACATAAAAATATTCAAAAAAAATTCAAAAACAAATGCATTTTAAGACTGTCATTTGGTTTTACTTATGTGAGTTTTATCAAATTAAATACATAAGAATTCAGGCATTACAAATTTAAAAAAAAATTCAGGTACAATAGGTGCTCACCACCTAAATCAATCTGAAAAACCAACTTCACCCAGTCCTTCTAGATTCTATAACAGGAGCCTTGTACCACCCACACAGCAATAGCAGGCTATAAGAGCTCTTTTCCCCAAAACTGAAATGTCCAGACTTTGACTAGACAGGGGAGGGAAGAAATAGATTACAGTTAGACATTTCTATCTCAAAATGCAACTTAAATTAAAAAAAAAAAATTTATTACATGTGTCTTTACTGGTCAATATTAACTTAAGAACAAGRAGAAAAGCCAGGAACAGTGATGCACACTAATAATCCCAGCAACCTGTAATCCCAGCAACTATAGCATGGGCTGAAGCCAGAGGATCTCAAGTTTGAAGCCAACTTCAGCAACTTAGTAAAACCCTGTCTCAAAGTAAAAAGAGCTGGGGCCAGGCACAGTGGCTCAGACCTGTAATCCCAGCAACTTGGGAAGCTAAGGAAGGAGGATCACAAGTTGAAAGCCAGCCTTRGCAACTAAGGGAAATCCAAAGCAACTCAGTGAGATCCTATCTCAAAAATAAAAAGGGCTGGGGATATGGCTCAGTGTAAAAGTGCCCCTGGGTTCAATACCAAGCATAAACAAAACAAAACAGGAAAAGTTTTTTACATGCCTGGCACCACTTCTTTGTTATGATGCTTTATCACAACAGATGACCAAGAGGTAATTGTGGGAAGAAGCCATTTCTATTCTCTTAGAACACCTTCCTCAAATAGTGGTAGGAGAAAAAACAGGAAATATTTGGAAAATATTTGGGAAAATCTGGAGACATTTTTGATTGTCACAAATGGCAAAAATAAAGTATTACCAGCATCTATTGGTGAAGCACAGTATGCAACTGACACCCAAAAGTATCCAGGAGAACACCACACCAGAAAACTATCTGACCCAGAATGTTCACAGTGCAAAGGTTAAGAAATCCTACCTGAGAGTCAAATACAATCAAGTCCTTGATTTGCTCACTCATTTAGATGTTTAAGCTATACACAAACATCTCTAAAAATGCATGTAACTCCTTTACAGCTTAGGAATAAAATTTTCCATATAAATACACAGTGATACTTACACTGACACATAGCAGAACTATCTTTATACTTTATGGGATAGACAATATCATAATGATTTCCATTGGAAAAACATAGTAACACCTGAAAGGGAAAAAGAAGACATGTTTCAGCCTCAACATTTACAAAGCAACTTAGTCTGCAATGCCTCTGAATCACTATATCATTTCCAAATAAAAAGTATTTCAGAAGCAACCTAAATAAAGCTCCCATATTATTGAACTATACTACTCCAGAGGCTATATAGCCATTAAATAAGTAGGTTCTTAATGACATACAGAAATTATATAGAATCTCTCTCTCTCACACATACACCCATACACACATACCCACATCCACACACACACCATGAAAACATTTCAGATACTTAAAAACAAATTTAAAGACCATTAAAAAAAATTCCAAAACCTTAATAATGGTAACCTTTAAGAGGCAGAATCAAAGAATATTTTTGTGCTTCTTTACAACTTTAGTACTTTTTTTCAGCAGACACAATATCTTTGTTTGTATGTGGTGCTGAGAATCGAACCCCGGCCGCAAGCATGCCAGGCGAGCGCACTACCGCTAGAGCCACATCCCCAGCCCCAACGTTGGTACTTTTTTTTTTTTTCCTTTCTTTTGGTGCTGGGAAATGAACCCAGGGCCCTGTGCATGTAAGGAAAGCACTCTAACAACTGAGCTATATCTCCAGCACCAACTTTAGTATTTTTTAAATACTTCATTACTAATGAATAGAGAAATTTACATTATATTTTTTAGAACACGTCTCGTTCCAAAAACTGCAGTTGTAAAGCCCAACTCCAGAGCAAAGACCTTATAAAGGCAGTAATTCACTCTCTTCCCCTTCCCTTTATCACCGCAAGTATGGTGATACACAAATCCCTTCAACTTGGACTTCACAGTTCCCAAAGAGCTAATTAAAACAAAATTCTCTTATAATGAGTCAGTTGATTTTTCTTGCTTTTTGGCTTCATGAAATTTTTCCATTGTTTCTGTTTTATGACCAGATGATGCATTAATACCCTTGCCACTTAAATTATCTTTACAATGGGAAATACATGTGGTTACCAAAGAATTCCTGGATGCAAAGTAGAGCCTACTTTCACAAATTATTTTACAATTTAATGTTTAAACTGACACAAAACAACAGAAACAATCTAGTTCATCATATACACTAGTAGTATAATTATTTTCAGTGTACTTACTAAAATTACTTAAGAGGGTTCAATACAATAATGGAGGAAATACAAAATAATATGACTCAATGATGATTATACTAATATAATATAAACTCAGAATGCCATAACTTTCACACACAATTATTTCAAAAAGTCACTTATAATTACAACTTACTAGGTCAATATAGGTTCTTTTAATTAAATCCTTTACAAACACTTGAAAAATTCTTACCTTTTCAGGAAAATTATTTTCAGTTACTTGTGAAGGAGAAACATTTGGTTCCCGATAAATTACAAAATCTTTCCTGAAAATAAAATTTAGAAATGACTTTTAAAGGAATATACTTCATGCATTTAAATTTAATAATTCATTCATCAATTCACTAATAAGTGTCAGGTCATATTTTAGGCACTGGAGAAGAAACAATTGCGTAATGACATAACTAAGCAGCAAAATACCTACATAAAATTATCTTTTCTTGAAAATAAAACTTCAAATATAGTTTTGATTGTTTATGTGTATGAGTATTACACACAGAGACATGCTTAAGTACACACACACAAAAATAACTTCAGACATGATTCTAAAGGGAGACCTAGAACTCAAAGAAGGTATAAAGAGAAAAATCTAAACATTTGAAAAGAAAAAGCTAAGTACTGATCTGCTCCTTTATATGGGGCATAAGTAGTAAAACTAAACATTAACATACCTGTTTTATTAGCTCTGTTCTACTGGCTATTCAATGCTACTGGCCTGAGAAATTACATTTTTCTTTATAAGGTTGATGAAGGCTATTTTATAGCCAGGAAAACTTTCTGTATCATTCCCAAAACTATTTTGATAATTAAAACTTCTAAATGTTGACAACTTAAATCTAATTGATGCAATTAACACAACACATAGACACACCAAAATTAGGATGTTTTACATCTGTGTGTAAAAATAGCCTATTTTAACATTTTCAGAATAAATATATTAATTTCACAGTGATTTTATTTTTTACTTATGCTATTACAGTGTTTACCTGTACATAAGAGAAAGGGCACTTATTTCCACTTGTCCTACCCATTCCTGTATTGAAAAAAAAAAAAAAAAAGGAGGACTGCATTACACTTTTTACAATATACCTTATACAACACTGCTACTCATACCCATTATACAACACAGTTTTAGGTGGACACAATATCTTTATTTTATTTTTATGTAGTGCTGAGAATCGAACCCAGTGCCTCACTCATGCTAGGCGAGTGCGCTACCACTTAAGCCACATCCCCAGCCCAGCTAATGAGTTTTAAAAGCCCTTAATATTGTTAGTATCATTACTATTACAAAGACATTTATACAAAATAGGTCAATATATTTGGCACACATAATAAAAGCAGGCTAAGTCTAACAAAAATCTTAGTTACAGAAATAGGCTGTAATGTCAGTTCCTATCTGCTTGACAAGACTATGGAGTAGTACAAACTGAAAACGTGAAGGCAAAGGCTACCCTGTTTTATCTTCAGGGTGAATGAAGATCCTCAAGAGAACACGCTCCCAGCAATCATTTTGAAATAAAGGAAATTCTACCCTTAAAGAAATTGCTTTAAGCCTCTAAAAGGCAAATGGCCAGTACCTACCAAAACTTAAAATACCCATACACACTCTGACTCAGCAATTCAACTTCAATCAATCTATTCTAAAAGAATATTGTTATGTCCACAAAACTGTATATAAACAAGGATATCTGTAAGCTACTTGTAATGGTGTTTTTAAAAAACATTTTTTAAATGAATTCAGCAGAGTAGCAGGACATAAAATCAATATTCATAAATGCATTTCTATATATCACTGATGAATCCTCTGAAAGAGGAGTTAGGAAAACTACCCCATTCACAATAGTCTCAAAAAATAACTAAAATACTTGGTAATCAACTTAACAAAAGAGGTCAGAGACCTCTACAATGAAAACTACAGAACACTAAAGAAAGAAAGTGAAGAAGACCTTAGAAGATGGAAAGATCTCCCATGCTCTTGGATAGGCAAAATTAATACTGTCAAAATGGCCATACAAAGCACTATACAGATTCATGCGATTCCAATTAAAATCCCAAAGTCATTCCTTATAGCAACAGAAAAAGCAGTCATGAAATTCATTTGGAAAAATAAGAAACCCAGAATAGTCAAAGCAATCCTCAATATCAGACCTTAAACTATACTACAAAGCTACAGTAACAAAAACAGCATGGTACTGGCACCAAAATAGACATGTAGACCAATGGTACAGAGTAGAAGACAGAGACAAACCCACATAAATACAGTTATCTCATACTAGACAAAGGTGCCAAAAACATATATTGGAAAAGACAGCCTCCTTGACAAATGGTCTGGGAGAACTGGAAATCCATATGCAGCAAAATGAAATTAAATGCGTATCTTTCACCATGCACAAAATTCAACTCAAAGTGGATCAAGGACCTAGGAATTAGTCGACACCCTGTGCCTAATAGAAGAAAAAGTAGGCCCAAGTCTTCATCATGTCAAATTAGGCCTTGACTTCCTTAACAAGACTCCTAAAGCATAGGAAATAAAATCAGGAAATTAATAAAAAAGATGAACTCAAACTAAAAAGCTTCTTCTCAACAAAAGAAACAATCAATGAGGTAAAGAGAAAGCCGACATTTTGGGAGGAAATTTTTGCCACACACACACACACACACAGAGCACTAATCTCTAGGATATATAAAGAACTCAAAAAACTTAATACCAAAAAAAATAATAATAATAACCCAATCAATAAATGGGCTAAGGAGCTGAACAGACATTTCTCAGAGGATATACATTTGATCAACAAATATATGAAAAAATGTACAACATCTCTAGTAATTCGAGAAATGCAAATAAAAACTTAAGATTTCACCTCATTTCAGTCAGAATGGCAATTACCAAGAATACAGACAACAACAAATGTTGGTGAGGATGTGGGGAGAAAAGACACATTCATACATTGCTGGTAGGACTGCAAATTGATGCAACCAATCTGGAAAGCAGTATGGAGATGCCTTAGAAAACTTGGAATGGAACCACTATTTGACCCAGCTATCCCACTCCTTGATTTATATATACCCTAAGGACTTAAAATCAGCATACTATAGTAATGCAGCCACACCAATGTTCACAGCAGCTCAATTCACAATAACTAAACTGCAGAAGCAATCTAGATGCTCCTCAGTAGATGAATGGGTAAAGAAACTGTGGTATATATACACACAATAGAATATTACTCAACATTAAAAGAGAATAAAATTATGGCATTTGCCGGTAAATGGATGGAGTTGGAGAATATCATGCTAAGTGAAATAAGTCAATACCAAAAAGCCAAAGGCTGAATGTTCTCTCTGATAAGCGGATGCTGATCCATAATGGGGAAGGGATAGGCATGGGAAAAATGGAGGGAACTGTCATTGGGCAAGGGGGAGGAAAGGTAGGGAGGGTACAAGGGGGCAGGAATGATGATAGAATGAGATGGACACCATTACCCTAGGTACATGTACGATTGCACATATGGTGTGACGCTACATCATGTACAACCACTGAAATGAAAAGTTGTGCTGCAATTATGTACAATGAATCAAAATACATTCTGTCATAACTAATTAAAATTAATTAATTAATTAATTAATTACAAAAATAAAATTAGTCATGGAAAAAAAACCTATTATTAAAGTTCCTAGAATCCAAGAAATAAACTGGCACAAGGCAACAGGCCTGTAATCCCAGCGACTTGTGAAGCTGAGGCAGGAGGATCACAAGCAAGACCCTGTCTTGAAATAAAATAAAAGGGCTGAGAAACATAGTTTACTCGTAGAGCATTCCCAGCACTTGGGGGATGGGAGGGAATCCTATGAAATAAATAATTTAATCTATAATTAAATTGTACAACAGAACATCATGCATTCATGGAAAATGAGACACATCCTTTTGAAATGACTTGGAAAGACCACGCAAGTCTATTAAATTTTTTAAAAGTCACAATAACATGATCTGTGTAAACAATCAAAAAGGTATATTTAGGGCTGGGGATGTGGCTCAAGCAGTAGCTCGCTCGCCTGGCATTCGTGTGGCCCGGGTTCAATCCTCAGCACCACATACAAACAAAGATGTTATGTCCGCTGAAAACTAAAAAATAAACATTAAAATTCTCTCTCTCTCTCTTTAAAAAAAAAGGTATACTTATCTGTATGTATGAATATGTATGCATAGAAACTGAAAAGAGGCAGTTTACTTAAACTGACAGTACAGAGGACATTCAGATTAAGAAAGCATTTTCATCCTTTGTTCTGTACATATCTATACTGTAAAATCTTTTACATAAGAATTTTGAAACTACTTGTGAAATTATTAAATACAGGGATCACTGAAAACAATGAGCTATGGTAACTGAACACTGACATTTCTTTCCTGAAGGAAGCAAAAAACTGAGATGAGGAAAAGATGTTAGCCAATGTTTTCATCTCAGAAAAGGATGATCTTGCCCAGCGTGGTCATGCATGCCTGTAATCCCCACAATGTGGGAGGCTGAGGAAGGAGGATTCCAAGTTTAAAGGCAGCCTAAGCRACTCAGGGACAACCCATCTCAAAAATATAAAAAGGGCTAGGGGAGATAGCTCAGTAGTAGAGTGCCTTTGGTTCAATCCCCAGTACTTCAAAATAAGAAAAGAGAGTTCATTTTAATATTTTTCAAAGTTGGCTTTGGGTTTCAAAATGAACAGGTGCCATAAATTAAAATAGATTTCTTAAAATAGGCCTTAGCCCAACAAAGGTAGCTTCTCACAAACTGTTACAAGTGACACCTTCTGGCCTACAGGAAACCCACTGATATGTTTAGATCACAAACTGCAAACTACTTTTCTAATACTTGCAAAGTGTTTAGATCAACAAACACAAAATACTTTTTTTTTTTAAGTTTATGTGATGTGTTACATCACTTTAAAAGATGGAAAAAAAATCTACTGGAGGCAACAAAATAAGACTTCTCATGAGAATGACATTATTAAATAATATGATACTTTTTACATGTCACCTTCACAATGAATTCTGTTGTGGTCCAGTTAAGTAAACAATGGCTGCCACCTTAACCAAGATCAATTGTTAATTATTAGTAGAAAACATATCCATGTTCTAAGACCACTACCTTCCTACTTAAGGCTGTTAATTCCACTTAGCATTTTCCATGACTTTCTCATAGATTAGAGAAAAGAGTTATTGCCACATCTGTTTTAATGAACCACATTACATCAAAACTACATAATTTAAATTTTCTGAAAATCATCCAAATTAAACTATTTCTTAAAAGATACTATTAGGAAAATGAAAAGCTAAGACAAACTGGAAGAAAACATTTGCAAAATACACAGCCAACGCAGGATTTGTTGCAGAATTCAGTAAGACCAACAACAATAAAAAATGGGCAAAATGAACAGACATTTTCCCAAAGACATATGGATGGCAAATAAGCACGTAAAAAGATATTCAACATCATTAGAAAAATGCAAATCAAATCACAGTAAGAGCTGGCAAAGATATGAAGCAACTGAAATTCTCACATACTGCTGATTAGAAAGCAAAATAGTACAGATTCTTTGGGAAAAAGTTTGGCTATTTCTCATTAAGTTAAACATTTATTTACCATGACCTCAAAATTCTTCTCTTTAGCATTCATCCAAGAGAAGTCTTATGCCCACACAAAGACTTGTATCTATAGCAAATGTTGACAGTACCTTCAATTTTAACAGATCCAAACTAGAGAGAATCCAAATATCAATTAACTAGTAAATAGATACATTGTGGACATTCTATGAACTATCCTTTGCAGTAGAAAGGAATAAACCACTGATGAAGACTCAACTACATGGATGCTAAGGGAAAGAAGCCAAACATGTGAGACTACAAATTATACCATCCTACTTATATACAACTAAACAAGCCAAAACTCAGAAAGCAGATCAGTGATTACCGGAAACCATAAGGTAAAAGGAGGAGATTAAATGTAAAAAGGCATGGGGAACACTTCTAGGAGCAATGGAAATGTCCTATATTATGTTGGTGGTGGTGTTTACACAATAATTTGTTTGTCAAATCTCATCAAGTTGTACATTTATGACCAGTGAATTTTAGCCAGGCAAAGAGGCGCATGTCTGTAATCACAGCAACCTGGGAGGCTGAAGCAGGAGAAACAAAAAGTTCAAGGCCAACCTCAGCAACTTAGCAAGACCAGTCTCAAAATAAAAAAATAAAATGAGCTGGGTATGTAGCACAACAGTAAAACACCCCTGGGTTAGATCCCCAATAGCAAACTATTTTTAAAAAGTTTGGTAACCAAACAAACCATATGARTGAATGATAAATCCAAACTGAATGAATCCATATTTAACAGACAAGAAGCCAATTTACTTCACTAAAGCTAACAAAATACTTCTTGCAAAAGTTAAGGCTATTTTCAACATGCTCTACTGGAATCTTTAAAAGGATATAAATGCTTTCTTTGAGAAGTGGATGAATTAAGAGTTTATTCATCAACTGTATTTCTTTTCATCTTATACATCCTGTGTATCAGGGAGGAAAAAACCCAGAATGATTTATAAGTATCGTTGCTATTTAATAATGAAAAAAAACTGTTCGGAAGGCACTTAAGACACAAAGGAGAGGTTTGATCAGATGTGGAGTGTCCTAAGAAGTCCTAATTACTGAAGGGGGGAAAAAAAAAAAAACCTGGCCAGACCACCTAGCCCCAGCAATCAAAGCACCTTCTTTTCTGGTAACCACAAATGAAATCAATCTCAGTTCAGTCCACACTGCATCATTTCCTCCCTATGTCTCCTCTCTTTGCACTACCACTTTGTAGATCCTAGCTCAGGCTCTTACAGTCTATGAGCCTGAAGTGCTGAACAAATATCAATAACAAACATCATAATGGGGTTTTCTGATTAACAAAATAATAAATGGACTTTGTCATTTCCTGTATTTTATATAAAGAAAATAAAAATAAAAAAAAAAAAGAAAATAAAAATCACATAATTATATACCAACTGCTGACATTCTAGTTTTCACCTTCCCTCCTACTTGTAACAAGATATAGGTTTAAGATTCATTTGAAATATACACACTGATCACCAATTAGGCACTCCAAATTGAAAGTGCAACTCTGGGAATTAAACAATTAAAATATTTGATCCTTTTCAAAAAGGCTTATAAACAGAGATAAAAATGTAAACTTCAGGAAAATGAATCTGTGATCATAGTATATGCTGATACTAACTTTCAAAACTATTCAAATAAAAATATAATCAGAGAAAAGGCCTTCCTGGAGTATTTGTCTCCAAAACTGGAGTAAAACTGTAATTACTGCTTTTTATACTTAATACAATGTAGACAGTTTTCCATACATTGGCAATATTTTAAACAATTTCAAAATGAGTCTGACAAATACTGCCTGCACATTCTCACTTGTATGTGGATGGGGGTGTGACAGAGAGATGGTTAACAGATAGAGGAGTGTAGTTGGATAGGAGAAATAACTTCTCATGTTCTATAGCACAGTAGGATACAATTACTGACAACAATTAGTCACATATTTGAAAACAGCTAATAAAGACTTTAGTGTCCCCAACACAAAGAAATGATAATGTTTAAAGTGATAGATATGCCTATCAGCCTGACCTGATCATTAAATGATACCCTGCATCTCATAAATATGTACAACTGTGTGTCAATTAAATTTTTTTAACTTTTTAAAAAATAAAATGGGTTTTTCTGCCTCTGGTCTCATTCACTTCAAACTTTTGCACAACATTCTTTTCACATGTCCATTCAGTCAGCAAAAATACCAGGCACTATTCCGGGTCTGGGGCACAACAGTGAACAAGACATACTGTAATCTGTGTTCACAAAGCTTAATTCTAATAGAAAAAAAAAAAAAATGAACAAAATATTTATTATACAGAATGGTGTAAGTGTGACAGAAAAAAATAAAAGCAGGAAAGGGAAATAGGGCAAGTGTTGAGGCTAATAGTTACAATTTGAGATGTGGTGACCACTAATCTCATGTCCCTATCTCAAAAATCTTTCCAAGGCGTCTTTCCAAGGCCATATACAGAGATCCCAGGGCTGAGAGTTTAGATATGGGATAGGAGCCAGGGATTCTATATATATTTTTTTTTACAAGCACACCAGGTGATTCTGATGCAGACAATCAATAAATCATAAATATCTTGAGAAACACTGGTGTAAAACATAAGCTCCAAATTACTGAGCTTAACACTGAAGGCCCTCCCACAATCCAGCCCCAGCCTGCCCTCTGACTTCTTTCTCACTCCCTCCAACCTTAGAATGTTCCATGCTTCACATAAACTGATCTGTTTTCTGCATCTAACTTGCTCAGTTTTCACCAATAGAATATCCTTCAGTACAGGCACTGCTTGTTTAGAATCTATTCAGACTTCAAATATGAACTCACAAACTCTTCATCAACCCAGCTGGAAATAAAACCTTGAGTACTTAGAGCATCACATCTAGGGCTGGGTTTATATAGCTCAGTTGGTAGAGTGCCTGCCTTACATGCACAAGGCCCTGGGCTCAATCCCCTAGCACCACAAAAACACAAAAAAGAAACAAAGCCCCCAAAAGTGAGTGACTTAAAATATAGCATTGTATCTGTATTTCTTGGAACACACATGATTTACTAATTTGTATTTCCCTATAGTAGAAAAAATTATTTGGTTATCTCATCTATGCATTCTCAGGGTGACTAGTTATTCTCAGCCCATAAATCAAACACTCCAAATAGCAACAGGGAATCAAACAGATGACCCAATTACTAATCAAACACCCTTCTTCCAACATTTACATTCCCTTTRCCACCTATCTAACTCCTTATCTTTTTTATTTGCCGATGTTATTTTTTTCTTTTAACAGTTGACAAATTCTAACATTCTAAATGGCATTCCACAATATTCGTTTGTGTACATGAATGTGTATGTGTATATGTGTGATGTTGAGGACCAAAACCAGCGCCCCCGCATATGCTAAGCACATACTCTGTCACCGAGCTGCATACCCAGCCCACATTTCATGATATTTGGACTTTTACAGTGAGAACATGAGTTTTATAAGCATGGAAAAAAAAAAGAATTCTTTTAATTTCAACATGACTAAGAAAATGTGTTAGCAGAAGTTGGTGGAGACATGCTACCTTTTTCTCCTCCCCCTTCACAATTTAATCATGGGAAATACAACTTCCAAAGAACTTTGCCTTCTCGGTTGCCTAAGGAAAAGATCAAATCTCACCTGTCCATCAAGTTCCACACACAAACCAACAAGGCATTCTGAAAATCATCACCATTTTTATTTCAATCTTGTATGCTACATCCACATGCTATTATGGCAAAGACAAAGATAGCATGACTCCTGTCTTTAGTGAGAAAACTTCTAGTATACAGCTCAAATTGTCTTCCAAATAAATGCTCAACAAAATGCCTTCCTACACATTCGTAGGAAATGGTGTACTCTATCCCCGTACCCCCTAAACACTGTACTATTAACTAGGAAATAGTGTATGCCTGTAACCCCCTAAAAACTGTACTATTAACTTTCTTCTTAATGAATTTCAAATACATTATGCTGGATACACACAAACAAAAATATATTTAGAACATTACTGCATACCTGTGGATTTTCCAAACGTTTTAAATACTCTTCAAACGACCCTTCTATAAACTGCAAAAAAAAAAAAAAGTCTGTTAGGAATGTTATGTCAAAAAACAGTTCACTGCTTCACTGTTAACTTTTTTTTTTAATTTATTTATTTATTTTTTAGTTTTCGGCGGACACAACATCTTTGTATGTGGTGCTGAGGATCGAACCTGGGCCGCACACATGCCAGGCGAGCGCGATACCGCTTGAGCCACATCCCCAGCCCCTTCACTGTTAACTATTCACTGTAAATTACTGAGACCTTATATAAACCTCGATACACCAGTAATATTAAAATAATGATGAGGGCTGGGGATGTGGCTCAAGCGGTAGTGCGCTCGCCTGGCATGCGTGCGGACAAAAAGATGTTGTGTCCGCCGAGAACTAAAAAATAAATATTAAAAAAATTCTCTCTCTCTCTCTCTCTCTCTCTCTCTCTCTCTCTCCTCTCTCACTCTCTTTAAAAAAAAAATAATGATGATAATATATACAAATAATTTAAGACCATAAACATATAAAAGAATTTAAAGAAGGAAACATTGCCAGAAAGAGTTTCCAGGAATAGGAGTGACTCAAGATGAAGGCTGGTCAGAATCTGGATGGGCACACAGGGAGCAGACACTCCACAGCAATGGCCCTTGTGGCGTAAGGAGGAAGAACTCCCTGTTGGGAAGACAGGGGCAACAGGGGCAACAGGGGCAACAGGAGCAACAGGGAACAAGGGCAACAGGATCTAGCCAGCTCCTAGCCAGCTGGAGCAGGGCAACTTGTTAGGGAGCTGAGCAAGAGAGGAAACCAAATGGGGGACTGTTGTTTATAGAGGGCCTTAACCCAGGCAGGAATTTCAGACTAGACAGGAAAGGTAATTCAAAGGTCACTGCATATGACATCCTGAACTGAGAAATTACACGATGAAAGCAGTGCTTTTGGATAAATTTGGTAGTGGTCAGTGTGTAGAAGAGAATAAAACAAAGACAAATATAATAGCTAAGAAAGCATGTTATCTTAATAATTATCTTAACAATACAGCTATAAGCATTCATTGTCTCTAGGTCAGTTATCCACAAGATGAAAACTAATAATGCTAAAGATATTCTGAAGCATCAACAGAATTTATCTAATACTGTTGCTTCACTGTTATTTAAACATAAAATTAGTTTATTCACAATTATATGATCATCCAACCTTGTTTTTCTCATAGCAACTGCACTAACTTGAGAAAGTTCTAAAAAACATCCACCTGACCCACCATAGTCAATTTTATGTAATTTATAATCCCAGTTAAGTACACCAAAAACATACTTCCCAGTCTGTAATTTTAAACACCCATGGATTTGTTTTGACATTCTTTCATAAATTGTATACTAACAGAGTTCCAAAAAGCATCTTAAATTTTAACACATATTTTTAAATCCCCATCAATCGGATGCCACTATTCCCTATTAGATAATTATTTACAGACTTTTAAAAGAAACCCATAGTGCCATTTAAAGTTGGTAAAGACCTAAGTGTTTTTCCAACACAAACCTGCGCCCAATGTAAGCCTCCTTTCTAAGCAGAAAGTGTCCTGCTAGGCCATGGGTGACACTGTTAAGTAGAGCAAGGTATATCTTACCCACAATACCCCTTTCCAACTCTGGTCAACAGAAACTACTAGGGTTCTTATTATAAGAAAAGTAAATCTTTCCCCCTCAGAACTTTCACCAGCTGATCATCTCTCATAAGATTATATGAATTAAATAAATACATGTGAAGCACTTAAACAATATATGACACACAGTAAGAGTTCAAGCAATGTTAACAATGTCCATATTATCAACAAGATTTTTACCTTTTGGGTCAGTAATCATTAATCCACGTGTAATTTCTTCAACTATTTATAAACCATGCCACTTCTCCCCTCTTCACCACCATTACACCATAGTCCTCTGTTACCATAAAATAAGGTTTCAAATCACCTGATTAAGCAGGTAACTCTCCTTCCTACAATTTATTACTATCCATTCTAACCACAACATTCAGAATTTGCTTGAATATAGAGAATCCCAATCCAGGAATATATTTAACTAAGATGTCTTCTGTTAAGTCTTAAAATCTAGTTATTTGCTAACCCAATCAATAAATGGGCAAAAGAACTGAATAGACACTTCACAAAAGAAATATGAGCAGTCAAAAAATATATGAAAAAATGTTCAATATCTCTAGCAATTAGAGAAATGCAAATTAAAACTACGCTGAAATTTCATCTCACTCCAATCAGAATGGCAATTATCAACATAAGTAACCACAAATGTTGGTAAGGATGTGGGGGGAAAAGGTACACTCATACATTGCTGGTAGAATTGCAAATTGGTGCAACACTCTAGAAAGCAGTATGGAGATTATTCAGAAAACTTGGAATGGAACCACCATTTGACCCAGTTATCCCACTCCTTGGTTTATACTCAAAGGACTTAAAAATCAAGCATTCTATATAGTGACCCAGCCATATCAATGTCCAGAGCAGCTCAATTCACAATAATTAAGCTATAGAACCAACCTAGGTGCCCTTCAACAGATGAATGGATAAAGAATATGTGGTATATACACAAAATGGAATATTACTGAGCCATAAAGAAGAATGAAATTATGGAAACTGGCGGTAAATGAATGGAACTGTAGACTATCATGCTAAGTGAATTGAGCCAATCCCAAAAAAAAAGAAAAGCCAAAGATTCTCTCTAATATGTGGATGCTAAGACACAATAGGGGATGGGGGGGGAGGGAAGAACAGAAGTTCACTAGATTAGGCAAAGGGGAATAAAGGAAAGGAAGGGGAGATGGGAATAGGAAAGAAAGTAGAATGAATTGAACATAACTTTCCTAGTTCCTATATGAATACACAACCAGTCTAACTCCACGTCATGTTCAACCACAAGAATGGGAAGTTATACTCTCTCTATATATGTCAAAATACACTACACTGTCATGTCTATCTAAAAAGAACAAATTAAAAAAATTTAGTTATTTGCCAAGTATCAATATTTTTTTACAAGTCAATGGGGGGAAATACCATTAAAAGTTGTCAGGTTATATAATTCTAGGTCATAAAACCAGTAAGCAGTAAATCCTGCAAGACTTTGAATATATAATAAAAATAGATCAGGTGGCAACTTATTTCACAGCCTTCTACACACTATTGAGAAAATTATACTGTTGTTATACAACATTTTATTAACTATTAATCAACATTTATATAATTACAGTGTTCTGATGTGATTTCACAATGATCTCTGAAAATTAAAAATCTAGAAATACCTTCTGATAAAATAGTTCAGCATCTTTTTTATACTTCAAATCTGAAACTTTAAATTCATCAGCAATTACCAATCACACAAAACACTATTAATCTCAACACCCATTTCCCTGAGCATATCAAGGACTAATGTATGGTATACAAGTCTCCCCTCCAGGTCATCCTTTCCATCCCCCACAGTTGTCTTATTCGTCACAGAAGCTTTCTAAATGTATAAATTAGTAACACAAAATAGCCTAGAATATTCACAGCTGAATATGTTTTGGATTTAATGATTTTTTTTATCAAGGGTTATTTTCATAACCCAGCCTGTGACATTTCCACCAGAACACTTCTAGAGACCAAAATGGGTATTAGAGATTATAAATTACCGCTTCAAATTTCTCTCTGTTCTCCCGAAGATAGTGAATACAGGCCATTCTAACTTCAACATGGCGAGACTGAGAGTGCAATACCTAAAAAGAAAAAACAACGCACTATTAAGCATTTTGCTAAAAGTGGATTTCAGTTACAACTTGATGCCTTCTTTCACACCCACAGTAATGGGACAATCAATAGATTATCAGTCTCCCTCCATTTCCCTTTCTATAATTTTAAGACCTTTACTCAATCTCACCTCTTCCTCTAAGCACGAAGATGGCATGACACAGAAATACCGCAATACTCCTTAAGCCAGATTCATTCTATAAAGAATGTATTACCATTTATCTTTTAAGTCACTAAAATCACTCCTCTGAGCACACTTTCGTAAACAAGACACTTTCCTTTCTTGCCATCTTTCTACAATAACTCTTCATAATTTGCTCTTCAGAAAGCAGAGTTAACAGAATCCCTGCTACTCAGGGCAAAGCCTCAACCTGTGCTTCTTAAGAAAGAGAACAAATAGATGACTTCATTAGTAATCATCTTTGGGGCTGTAAGACTGTATGAGATACTTTTTCTTCCAATAATTGTGAATGTATTTAGTGGCCTTACACAGAAATTTAAGTCCATCATGGTTTCAGAAAAGTTAAGGAACTCTTTACCAAGTTTACAAGACTTAAAAGAAGTAGACAGTCTGGAAGACATAAAAATGCTGTTATTCTAAGAGGCTTTGGATTTGACTGTGGTGGGGAGGGGGGATTATGTGGACTGATCCGAGGTGGTCTACCACTGAGCTACATTCCCCAGTTCCCTTTCAAGATTTCACTTTGAAGCATGATTTCACTAAATTGCCAAGTCTTGAACTTGCAATCCTCCTGCCTCAGCTTCCCAAGCTGCTGGGATTACAGGTATGCACCAAGCTGTAACTCATTTTTGAGTGTGTGTGGTACTGGGGTTCAGAAAATTTGGCAATTTAGCAAGACCCTGTCTCAAAATTTATAAATTAAAAAAAAGGGGGGCTGGGAATAGAGCTCAGTGTTAAGAGGGACCCTGGATTAAACCCCCAGTACCATCAAAAGAAAAAAAATTAAACTGCAGCTCCTATTGAGTGAGTCTCCCATATATTCAGGAAAGACAACACTCAAGATACATGTTTTACAGCTCCCTTGGATCATAGCCAAGGCTCATTGATACCCACAGAACCACAGGCACAATAGCCTGGACAACTAGTATGTCTTATTACACTATGATACACTGAAGGAACTCTTTACCAACTAGTTAAAGTTAGCAACTGAATTGGTTTTCAGTTTACTAGTTGGTTTTCAGCTTCACAGGGTAAACCTTGTGATTCTATTAAATAGTAGCCTTTTTCTAAGCTTCCAGCACACGGGGTACTGCTCACATATCCATACATATATGACTAACATACAACGCTGAAGGTGTAGCTCACTCAACCTTATGCTTACTTAGCAAGCATAAGATTCTGGGTTCAACACTTAACACACACATACAACAACAAAAAAAAAAACCCACACAAATTCTTTTTTTGCCAGTTCCACAAATGACATTCAGCTAACACTTCTGCAGCTAACGTTAGACACTATTATGAATCAAGTCATTATTAGTATGACTCAGGCAGTGTCATCCGATAGGGCTTTCCTGCCATTAGCAAAGTAGAGCTACTGTTAAAGCCATCTACCTAGCAACAGGTGGCAGATATAAGTTAGTAAAGCTTATTTCCATCAAAAACAATGGCAGGCATATCTAATGGTTTTTCTCCTCTTTTAACAAATATTTTAGCATATAGAGTCAATCTAAACTTGTTGCTCAAAAGCAAAACTCTCAAGTTCCATAAATTGTGGGGTGCTGGTAATTTACAAAGCCAAACACTGCAAGACAAGCAAGGTTAAATGACAACTGTATAAAAAGTAAATTACTGCACAAGTTCAAGGACCTCAAGAAGAAGTCAAATGGTATGGTAAAAATCCATCTTTACAAACTATTGCAAACATGAAAGTAAGCTACAGGGAGGAGGCTTTCCATCGCTCCTTAGGACAAGATAGTGATAAACACTGGGAAAGGATGAGACACACTGTTTTAGCAAGTCCTCTAAGAGTGCCCTATTTTTAGCTCTATGGCTAGGAGCTGATTCAGGTCAGGCCTCCTGCAGGCCCAAATCCACAACTATAAAAAAGGGAAGGGTCCACCCAAAAAAATGTGATCTGACGGGAACCTGAAGTCCCCTCCCCGTCTCTACAGCCTGCCATTTAGATTACTGACTCCTTAGAAATCTTACCTATTGTAATTTTATATAAAAATCAATAGTTTAAAAGAAAATCCTTTGTACTCATTTTAAAAGGGCAGCCTGAGCGCTGTTATTTCCCTTTTCCCCACACTTTGCCTTTAGCCATAACTGCTACACCCTTAGTCCTGTCTGCTGAAAAACCCAGTCTTCACCCAAAAATTCATCTCCTATAGCTAAGCTCAAAATCAGAGTCAGATAATTGGAGAAGGCAGTCCCTTATGCCCAACCTGAGTCCCATTATAATAAATTACAAAAAAAAATGTGTTATTGGATGTTAATGAGTTTTTAGTGTTAACTAGCTCTTGCCCCTACAAAAATACTCAATAGATTCTACTACAATATGAACAGGCTTCTGAATAATCCAGGTTCACCAACTATGGCATATAATAGTGGAAACAGTCAAACCTTTCTGCTTCAATAACTAGGATCTGAATAATTCAAGTCCAAATTTAACTTCTACCTCCTTCCTGACCAAACTCTTGCTAAAGCCAATAGTATATAACTATGAGCTGACTTCATTTTCATCTCTTCTGCTTCTGGAGGTGTTGTTGAGGAGTCCAAAAAGGCTGAGACAGAGGAAGCACAACAGATGGGGAGATTTGAAAAATTCACAAATGGGGCAGACTGTTTACCTACTGATAGTTAGTACTGGGGTGGGTGTGTGAACATACTCCACTCACACTGAACATCCTAAATTTCTGAAAATCAGAGCAGTCTAATGAACTGAAAAAGACAGAGCCTGGTTTGGAGAACTTTTAAAGAAAATGTTTCACTATCAATGAAATGCTGCAAAGGCTGATCCCCAATAAATCAATTTCTTGTTTTAAACAAAGATTCCATGCTATAGATGTAAAAAACGAGAGGCCTTTGAAAATAAATATCTGGCCTATTGATGTTTTTTAAAAGGGAGAACACCCAGACACCAGGGCTCAAGCCTGTAATCCCAGCTACTCAGGATGCTGAGGTAGGAGGATGCAAAATCCAGGTCAGCCTCAACAACATAGCCAGACCTTATCTCAAAATTTAAAAAAAAAAGTGGGGTGTGGGGGGTGTGGCTCAGTGGTACAGTGTCCCTGAGTTCAATTCCCAATATCACAAAAAAAAAGAGAGAGAACATACTAGTCAGACTAGTCTCCAGATGTTAGATAAAACACTTATTCACAAATAGAAATTCTAAAAGCTATTTAGCATTTAGAAAAAGTGAGGGGGAAGGAAAAAAACCAGAAACATCATTAAAACCCCCCCAGGGTATGAGGAGGAGTTGTTCCTTGAGCTAAAGGGAAACAAACTATGAAAGGTATGAAAATACCCGGGCAGTGAAACTTTTTATCCAACTACTCAAGCAGCTATTTTTCAAATATACAGATGCTTTTTGGTGACTGCACACTTACAACGTACAGTATTATATAACACGAAAAAAAAATTCCAAAAAAAAAAATCACAAACATCTTCCTAAGCAAGTTATTAAAAATGATTTTGGCCATTTCAAACGGGGGTGGGAGGGTGGAGGATCAGGTCAAGAAAGGCCCCGGGAACCCTAGTTACTAACACTCCCTCCTCCAACCAACACAAAAATACTTTTGGAAAACGTGAATTTTTTTTCAGTATACCTCCACTGCTTCGCCCAGCTTAATGAGGTGTGGAATCTACTCAAGCTCAATTCATTCAACATGTTCTGTATTTGTAAAAGGTTGGTTTTCTCAAACGGGCAAAGTTTGCCCCYTGGCTTCAAGTGACATCAGTGAGCCCGATTACCCCACATTCCAAAGTCCGACAAACAGGGGGAGGGGGCACCACCTCCCCTAGGAAACGCGCGGTTCACGGGCGTGAACGCTGCGCTTAGAAAACCCAGGGGAGCTGAACGCGGAACACACACGAAAAACCAGCTGGTCGCCAGGTCCCCGGCAGGCACGCTCCGCGCAGGCCTCACAAGTTGTCCTCAACTCTCAGTCCCATTCCGGCGCCACAATGGGCGRCTGTGACGACAGCCGGGCCACGCGCGGCCCGGGACGTGGGCAGCCAGGACAGCTGAGCCGCCGCGTCCCACCCYGCCYGCCGCCGCCKCCGCCCCCGCCCATTACCTGCTCCGCCACGGCCCGGAATAGGCACGACCCGTCCTTGGCGACCAGTTTCCGATACAAGCCCAGTTTTCGCAGATAGGCGTCCATGGGCGTCGCGTCCTCGCGGGGCGCCGCGCCGCCCTGGTCCCCGCCGTCGGGGGCGCCGACGGCCGCCTCCATGTTGCCGGTCCCGCTGCAGGCCAGGCGCGCGGGCTAGCCCCACATGGCCGCGCCGCCGGCTGCTCGACGCCCCGGCCTGGGGCAGGCGGAGGCTCCGGCTCCGGCTCGGCGAGCTGCGGCAGGCGGCGGCCCGAGGCAGCGGTCCGCGCTCTCCCGGCGCATAGGGGAGCCCTGCCTAGTGCATGGCCGTCCGCACGCGGCCGCCTCCCCGGAGGGGCCACGCGCCCGGGGGCACGGGGGGGGATGAAGGGACGCCCCGAGAGGTAGCAGTCACTTCCCGACCGCCTCACCGCCCCGCTCGGGCGCTGGGCCGAGGGTCRCCGGCCCCACAAGTTTCCTGGTCCCGACGAGAGTGGGGCTAGGAAAGCCCCGCCGCCGGCGTGCGCCGGGCCGCCTCGGGTGAAGCGAGGCCTGCGTGCCCCGCGCGCTCTCCTCGCCGGGAGCCGAAGAAACCAAAAGAGAAAGCCGCGGCCTTGGGTTTCCCCACCTCGCCGGAGGGAGCCGGAGGGGCGGGGAGCGGGAGGGGGCTCCCGGCGGAGGGCAGCACCCTCGCAGCGTAAAATTTGTTTTCGCTTTCAGCCCCAGAGCGGAGAGGACGGCGGGAGGTGTAGTTTTGGCAGCGGCAGGAAGTCGGCGWGCGGCGGGCGGGCACGCCCGGGCCGGCCTACCCGGGGGAGGCGCCCGGGAGGCACGCGGACTACAAGTCCCTACAGCGCGGGCGCCGTCGCCGCCGCGCGGAGCCGGCTTCGCGCTTCCCAGGCGCCGCGTCCGCAAGCAGGCCGAGGGTCTCCGCCAGCCGACGCGCGGCCACCTGCGCGCGCCGCCCGGCCCCGCCCGCCGCCGCCGCCCGGCCTCCCGCCCTCTGCGCCGCGGGGCCGCGGGAAGTGCGCGCGCGCCGCGTGCGTGGAGTTGCCAGGGACACAGCGGCGGCGGCGCGGGCCCTTTGTGTATTTCCAAACAGAGGGCGCACCTGTGTGCACCCCTCCCCCCCGGCCGCGCTCCGGCGTCTCCGCCGAGGTGGCTTTAACGGCTGAGGCAGGCTGCTGGAGCCGCCACCGTGCGGGACGACACAAGCTGACCGTAAATCAGCCGTGGGCTGCTGGTTCCTATCAGAAATTAAAAGTGCRGCTCACGCACCACGGCAAGATGATGCCTGTTTTTTGTTTTTTGTTTTTTTTTCACCTTGTCACTAGTTGAGCACCGCAACCTAGAGAAGTCAACTGTTTGAGGAAACAAACAATTAGATATTTTCCTTGTTAAAAATACTCATCTTGTAATCACTTGATAACATGTTGTACTTGCCATGGCGTCCAGCAGTGCTGGAGGCTTCCCACTCAACTCCTACCCCCCAAAAAAAGTTGCATGACAGGAAATGGCAAAGTCGAATGAGCCTTTGGAACCCAGTATTTATCCAACATGCTTCTGAGACACCAGAGTTTTAATTTGCCAAAACACAACAGCATCTGGTGTCCTTATTTAAATACATGGTTAATCATAAAAACTACTACAGCCTTGAGGCCATGGTGGGGGAGAGGGAAAAAAGTGGAGGATTATGGTATGTTTAGAGATAGTTGAGTTCTTTGGAAGGGGGACCAAGGCAGGCCAGATGGTGAGAATCCTACATAAATTTACTGAAAACTCTTGTTAGACATTGTTTCAGTGCAAGCAATGAGTCATATTTTCACTTCCCTTGTGGCATCTAAATTTGATTTTTTTTTTTTAAACCAGGGATTAAACGAGGGCGCTTTACCATTGACCTACATCCCTATTTTATTTTTTATTTTGAAATAGGCTCTCCCTAARTTGGTTAGGACTTCGTGAAATTGCTGAGCCTGGCCTGGAACTTGGTAATCCTCCTGCCTCAGTCTCCTGAATAGCTGGGATCTCATGCATGTGCCACCACATCTGGCTAAATTTAATTTCCTCCTGTTTAAATATCCTATCTCCCAATTTGCTATTTCTAGAAAATCCAAACATTATTGTGATCTAATGAAAAAATGTCCTGTCACAATTGAAGGGAAAGCAAGAAATGAAAGACCAGGCAGAGATCACAGAGAGTTTATTCGTCAGAGCTGACAAATAAAGGTCATCTCTCTACAGGAGAGAGAAGCAAAACAGGCTTGGGTTCCGAGACTTTTATGGGGCAGGCTCAGAAATCAGAGCCGAGCTGATCTTAATGCCCCCGGTTAATTGTTAGGTTGGTATGAGGGAGTGGTGAGCCTTTCTCAGAAAGGCCCTTGGGAGGGAAAGCGAAACTTTTTCCTTGAAATGGCGGCTGTCACCATCCAGACGCTAAGCAAGGACCTTATAACAATATTAGATTATTTAAACATTGTAGAGAGGAAACATTATAGAAAAAAATCTTGTTTCATGGGGCATGGTGGTACATGCCTGTAATCCCAGTGACTCAGGAGGCTGAGTCAGGAGGATCACAAGTTCAAAGCCAGCCTCAGCAACTTAGTGAGACCCTAAACAGTTTAGCAAGACCCTGTCTCAAACTTAACAATAACAAACAAACAAACAAAAACATAAAAGGGCTGGAGATGTGGCTCAGTGGTTAACCTCCCAAGGGGCTCAATCCCCAATACAAAAAGAAAAGAAAAAGAAAAAAATATGGTTTCAGATCAAACCTGTTGCTTTTCTTTTGAATGTATTACATTGCATATACTATTCTCAAAAAAAAAAAAAAAAAAAAAAATTGCAGAGCATTGCCTCTACAACACGTGTTGCCTTTTAGACTTAGAAAATTTTTTAAAAAATAATCTATGGGACTTAAAATACAAATTTCTAAAATGAGTAGATTATATATCAATTATATAAGAAACAAATTACCTGAGGAGCAAAAAGAAAACCATACCTTTCCTAACATTTATTTTTATTACTCCTCAGTAAGACTTCCTAAAGTTACTCTCATATTCAATTTATATTTTGGGGAAATCTGTATATATTAAATTGCTCAATATCTGGAGTATATAATAAAAAGTTATGTTTCCAGGGACTTCACAATTCAAAATTTTTCAACTTTTGTAATTGAAATGTTCAAGATTGTACTGCATTAATTTTTTTCAAGTCATTCAAAGATAAAAATAAAGCTTTGCTTGATTTTATATGTACAATTCTGATCGTGTTTGAAGTACATTTTCCATTTTGAGACATATCCATATTTTAATTATTTAAATGTATTTGTATTTAATGTCAACCTGAAATAATGGCAACATCTTCTAAAGCCCCAGAATTTTTCTGAAATTCTTTGAAGAAACCAAATCCACCTTTCATTCTATGCCTTTATTTTCCATTGCAAAAATTTAATTCACTGATAATAGTAAAATCAAAATAATACCGGACATGATCATTAGCTTAACTATTCTAAGGATCCCACTTTCAACATATTTTTAAATGAATTATGGAATACTAAGAAAAGAGAGACCTTTATCAGAATCATCAAAATTCTATGCTATCTTGTAAAAAATGTGATTTGTTATTAGAAGTAATAGAATAATAACATACTTTTGGTCATTTCTACACTGGATATTATGGTAAAATTGCTTATCTTCACTTTTGCTCAATGAGTGCAGACCAGCCTAACTCTAAACTATCTGATTCTAGTTCCAAAATTAGAAGTGATGCACCTGTTGTATCTCACCCCAGGGCTGTATATGGAAATCCTTTAGGTATTTTGAGACCTAATCCAAGACAGACCCTCTGTACGCCAACTCCCCAAATATAACTCAGTATTCAGGCAATGTTAGAGGATCCTATGTCTTTAAACTGGACTAAAATTTACAAAAATTCACTAACTTTAACACTTGTTAATATTAACTGCTGACACTTTTCAAGAAACCACACTGAAACTGACTGAAAAATGTCCATTCTGAGAAATTCATTTCTGACCTGCAAAAGTGAAAGACATCTTTAAATAGACTCTATTTTCATAAGATAAAACCTGAAGTGTGATGCTTCTGAGAACCTAATGATATTGTAACTGTGCTCCACTTTATGCTTTGAATATAGCCCCTGCTGCTCTGCCACTGCAACTTAGTTTTAAAATGGACATCTTTCTTTCTCTTCCTCTCTCCCTGCTCCTCCCTAATCTCTCCTTGTCCCTAATCTCAGGGGAAACAGGATTACCTTTCTTCCCCATCCTAGGCAGAGTTATCTGTCCTTGAGTACACACCCACCAAAGGAACAAAGTCATCCAGACTTTGGGGATGGTACCAGAAGATCTCAGAAATGTCTGTCTCCAACAGAGAACACACGTGTGGAATGTAGCCTTTGAGTCACCTCTTTAAATGTCCCCTGTTCCTGCTGATGGGCAGAATCACAGCCTCTGGGACAGGAGTCCCCTGTGTTTCTCCTTTTCTAGCAAAGCAGTAAACCTTCTTTTTGATTTTTTCTCAAAACYGTGTCCTCATTATTGGATTGGCAACAGGGACAAGAAACAGGCTTTCAGCAACAAATTTACCAACAATCTTACACAAATGTGTCAACCAAATTTTTTTTCCTTGTATTCTCTCAATATCTCATTAGTTTGTTTACTTTGATAATTTGTTTTAAAAGATAGGCTAATAGGTTATAGGAAGATTTTTTTTTAGCTTCTTCCTAAGGTAAGGTTAGGTATGGTGGTGGGTAGCCTCAAGATGGCTCCCCCTACCAGGATTCCCACTTCCTGGTATTCACACTCTTGTAGAGATGGCTCCCACTTTGTGTGCCAAGGTTGGCCTGAGTGACCAATGAAAGAGCCTGAAAGTGATGATGTCACTTCTGAGGCCAAGTTGGAGACACTTGGCATTTGGGTGGTTACATTTACACCCCACCTCTCATGGTATAACAGGAGCTTCTTTAAAATTGGGGGATTTAAAGAATCACCCAATCATTGTCCTTCTCAACAGACCTTAGGTTGTTTTACCTTCTCAGCTTCATCTCCTGCTGGGAGTAAAAACGGCCCAGAAGCCCCAGTGCCAGCAGGATCCACAGAACCTCAACAGAACTTTGCCACACCTCTGCACTCCTCTTGGCTCCCACTTTTGTCCTTTCCCTGTGTCATTCTGGATGTCTTCTGCAAAGGACTGTCTTCCTAGT